GAAGGCCAGCAGCTCCAGCTCGCACTCGGTCAGTTGCCCGCCCACCACCTCGAACATACGGTGAAGCGACAGCATTCCGTAGTAGTCCAAGCACTCATCCTCCTCCCAGCTGGGGGCTGGGGTCGGCCCGGACAGCGCCATATCCAAGGGAGGGGCGTGCGGAACAAGATCAGAACCAGGGCCTAGAACCCACACAGCAGGGAGGAGGCATTGGTCAGCGACACCGGGGCCCAAACCTCATCCCCTCCAGTGAGTCTCTTCTGCCGCGTCCCGCCGGGCAGGGCCAACCTCACGTCCCAGCCGTTTTAGCCCCCCCCTTTCTCCCACAAAAAAATGGTATCGCCCGAGGTCCCCTAGTAACAGGTCGAGACGCCCGACTCCGCTTGGGCTGCCCGAGTCCGAACGCCCCTCCCCAGGTGGTATGTTCCGAACAACCTTCCGGATCCGACGAAGTAATTCGGTACGAAACAGCCTAGGGGCCCAACGCGGGGCACCCCCGCAACTGCCTTTGGCTCTGGGTAGCGCTGTCCGAACATGCCCCTGGGCTCCGTCCAGTGGTACTGTCAGATCAGCCTCACTGCTCCACCCAAGTGATGTGGTCTGAAAGTGACCCTCTGCCCCTACAGTGGGACCGACCAAAGCAGCCCTCTGCTCCACACAGGTGGTGCTGTCCAAACCCGAGCCCCGAGACCTGTGAGGGAGGTACCGCCCTTTCCCCAGCACCTAGGTGGTCCAGTTTACCTGCCGCCAGTCGCCCTTAAGCCTCTCTAGATCCTCACCGAATTCCAGCGTCTAACGACTCCTGGGCGACGGCTGCAGACACTTGTTTTGAATCTTTCTGGCACCTTCTCTATTATTACGCCTGCGTCACCTCGCCCCTCCTCCTTCCCCCTACTCGCGCAGGTGCGACCTCGCCACGCCCCTTAGGCGCAAGCGCAGAGTGAGGCTCCCAAGCCCCTCCTTCCGGGCCCGCCCCCAACCGTAGCGTCTGGCTGGCCTGTGCTGAGCCTGCGCTGAGCCTGCGCAGAGCGAGAGCGGATCCTCGTCTGGGCTGGATCTTGTACCACTTCGCGAGATTGCTTCTGTCCACAGAGTTCTTGTTGCCTCATGTCACGATCTTTTGAAACTACTCATGTCATGGACTACAGTCCCCTCACAGTCACTACCTAGACGCCCACATTACCACTGTTCCCACTTGCCTACGGCAAAGGACCACAATCATGACTTTTCCTGGCTCCCAGAAGCGCCCTGGCCCCTTATGATCGGGATTTGGACTCTACTCCAATAGACTGCCCTTTTATTCATATTGGCTACATCCCAGCTGTGCCATTTCATGATCCTGACTGGAATACCGCCATATCCAGCAGAAATCCTCCATCTATAAATTCCTTCCCCTATCAAGACCAGGATTCCCCCATTTCATATTATGAACTAATATATGCTTCCTGATTGCAGTAGACCCCTCCATCTCGACTGTGCACCCCCTGATGGCGTCCATCACGACTCCCCCATTACAGTGAGACAACCCCCCAGGAACTCCAACGCCCTCCCCTCCATAACCTCTTCCAGTCTCTGCCCTCCAAGGTTACAGGGACTCCCAATACCCTCTTTCTAACCTGCAACTACGAGTTTCTCTCTGGTAAGAGTGGGTCTCTCTCAAGAGAGTTGGCGTGGAGGCTGCATGCCCGAGCGTCCCCCACCCTCCTCCTACTCCGTGGCGGGGGCCCTGGGCGTGGCGGCTACCCCTCCCCCGACTTAGGTGACTCAAGGTCAGAGCCTGCACGTGCCTTGAGACAGGTTCCCATGGACCCGTTCCCACCCTCAGAATTACCCCTGGGGAGGTTGGCACTGACTCAACACTAGCTCTGCTTGGGCTGCAGCAGTGACCTCGAAAGAGTCCTTTCCTCTCTCCCTGATGGCAATTGTCACCTACTGAAACCCAGTCCTGGGCCGGAAACACAGCAGGTGGCCAATAAATATCATTAAATCAACTGAAGAGTGGGAGGGAAGGGAAAGCAATTTTACAAACTGTTAAGGACTATGTCCATATTAGTGGGTTATGGTGAGCATCCACGGCGTAACAGGTTTTCTGCTAAGTACTTTTATGTGTTTGATTTCATCCAATCCCTTCAACAGCCTTTGAGGTGGATGTGATTCAAGCCCATGTTACATAGGAGTAAAAGTGAAGCCCAGAGAGGGGAAGCACCCCAGGTGTGTTTGACTCCAAGCTGTGCTCTCGGAGATGCTCAGTCTCTTCAGTTATGAAATGACACCTCTGTCAAGGTCTCCCGTCACCTGGGCCACTCCATGGCCCCTCGCTTTCCGATGATGTTCTGCACTTAACTTGCAGACTTCCGGCAGAGCAGCCCGAGAGAACTGCGCAGGCGCTTCTCCGAGCCCCGAGCCCCGAGCCCCGCCCACAGGGCACGATTGCGTGTGTGGAGAAACTCGCCGAGCCCCGCCTGAGCGTCCACACGCAGGCGCAAGAGCGCGTGCCCTCTGCTTTCGGCTCTGATTGGCCGTCACGGGTAAGGGCGCCGCCCAATGGGAGGCGTGGATAGTGAGGGGTCCCGCACGCCTGGAGCAAGAGGGTCTGTGTCAGGAGCGGCGGGGGCTGCAGGAGAAGAGAGAGACGGGTGAGGGCGCCGCGGGGCTGGCCGGTGAAGAGAGTGCTGGGCGTATGGAGAAGGCGGAGTGAGAAGGAAGGGGACATCGGGGGTCGAGGAGCTTTGGGGCCTGCGCGAGGGCGGGAGCGGCGCGGAGTGGAAGGGGAACGCTCCTTCCTATGTGCCCTGGAGCGTTGATTGAGCCCCTGTGGTGTGCAGGAGCCTACGCTTGAGCTCCTTGGCCCTCCACCTCTTTCAGAGAACTTTCAGGCTGCGGAGTTGTTGACGAGTCTGGTCAGAGAAAAGGGATGTGTCTCGGGAAAGCTGAACCTCCAGGCCCCTGGTGGGCTCTTTCCTGGAAGGACTTATTAATCTACTGTATAAGAAAAACCCACCCAAGCAGTTCATAATCCAAGATTGGGAAGAGGGGAATGTAGACTAGGAAAGTCCAAATTTCAGGTCTCTCAGGCCACCTTCTAGACATTCCCTGGGTGTCTGCTATGTATAAGTCATGCACCAGGCACTGGGCCTCGCAGGAAGGGAATTCTCTGGAGTGGGGCTGTACACAATGAAAAGTTGAACTCTCAGGCCCCTGATTGACTGCTTCCAAGAAGGTCCGTTGTTGAATGGTGGTTGTGTGCCAGGGCCCTGGCAACTCAAAAATTAGTGAGGGAGTTGGAAAGTTTAGCTCTTGGGCTTTTAGTGAATCATTTACTCAAGGAGCAGTTATTAGACACCAGGTGATAACAGGGCCCCTTGCTGGGCCTGGTTACTGTGGGAATTCACAGTCTAATAGGGCTGCTCTGGTGGGAGAAGTGACAAGGGACAGTTAAACTCTGGGGGCCACACTTCCTCGAGGGAGCATTATTCATTCACTATCTGAGTGCCATTTGTGGTGAACAGACTAAAATCCCTGCCCTCTGGGACCTTAACACAAGCAACTTTTGTGTGCAGGGCTGTAAGCTGAACTCCACCTGCCCTCTAACACTAACAGATGAGTTGAAGAGATGGAGATGGTAGAGGTTATATTTGGAAAGTTACTTCTAGGCCTGAATGGGGGACATTTGCTGTAGGGACTCTGAGCCTCTGCTATGTGAAGGGGGCCTGGGGTGGGTTGAGCTCACACATGTAGAGGGGGAGATGGGGCACACAGAGGAAGTTCAAAGGTTAAAATCCTTCTCCTTGGTCAGTGGTTTTATTGCTGACAACAACCCCTACAACAAATCAGACCTGCCCTGCCTGCAGGCTGAATCTGGTGGGGAGCACAGAGACTCTATCCCATGTTCATGATATTTGCTATGATAGAGGTGGCACAGGATACCATAGGAACCCCGAGGAGGAGGGAGTGGTCACCACCCCGTGGGTGTAATTATGTTATTTTAAAAGGTTTCACAAAGGAAATATTGGATAGGAGTTTGCTAGACCAGAAGAGGGAACTTTCTTGGCAGATGGAATCACAGCGTCAAAGCCTTGGGGTCCAAAGGCAACATTTCTGCAGAATTAGAAGTAATGATTCTACCTAATGTGTATCAGGTACCAGGGACTTTGCAGTTAGTACTACTTTTAGCTCCCTTTCACAGATGAGAAAACAGTCTCAGAGAGGTGAAGTAAATGGTGGGACTCAAAGTCAAGCCAAGGGCAGTCTGGTTCCAGAGCCTGTGCTCTGAAACACTTTGTTTTGCTGCATGTCTGTGTATATGTTGATGAAGGAAAGCTGCTGCACAGAGAGGAAACTGCACAGGGAAAGGCCAAGAGGCCCACAAAGACACATTATGTTCTTGGAAAGGGTGTACCTGGCCCTTTGGGTAAGGAAGGTGGCATCAGAGGCCAGACTGAGGAGGGCTGTCTCTCCTGCAGATGCCTGGCCACCATGGGATGCAGGTCAACTACAGAGTCACAGGTTCATTGAAGACCGAGGTACAAACACTGGCTCCAGACTTTCTGGTTGGTAGAGGCTGGTGAGTGACTGGATGGGCAAGAGGACTCCTGAGACATCCCCTCTCCCCTTGAGTTTCTAGTGTCTCACTAGGTCTCCCTTCTTTCTCCAGGCACTGCCTTCCACACAATGGCAGAAGTGGTGGCTGAGGTGGCTGAGGTGGCTGAGATGCCAACACAGATGTCACCAGGGGCAATGGAGATGTCAACACCGATGTTAGGGGAGAAGACAGAGATGTCAACAGAGGTGACCGAGATGACACCCGGAGAGGCCCTTGCCTCATCCCTCTTCTTCCAGTTCATGTGCTCTGAGTGTGGCAGCCTCTACAACACACTGGAGGAAGTCCTCTCACACCAGGAGCAGCACGTGCCCACTGTCACAGAGGAGGAGGCGCTGACCACCCAGGACACTAGCCTGGAGCCAGAGCTAGTGCCAGGCACTGAGGATGGGCCTTTCCAGTGCGGTGAGTGCAGCCAGCTCATCATCTCCCCCAGTGAACTCCTGGCCCACCAGGACGCCCACCTCCGGGAGTCTGCAAGCCAGATCCAGTACCAGTGTGGAGACTGCCAGGAGCTGTTCCCCTCGCCTGAGCTGTGGGTGGCTCATCGCAAGGCCCAGCACCTTTCTGCTACAGCAGTTAAACCTCCAGTGCCACCTCCTCTGCCTCCCCTAACACCACCACCTCCACCCCCTGCTCCACCCGAAATCAAGATGGAGCCCTATGAGTGTCCCGAGTGCTCTACCCTCTGTACCACCCCTGAGGAGTTCTTGGAGCATCAAGGCACCCACTTTGACTCCCTAGAGAAAGAAGAGCGCAACGGGCTAGAGGAGGAGGAGGAGGAAGATGAGGATGAAGAAGATGAGGATGAAGAGACAGAAGATGAGGAAGAGGCAGCAGCAGAGGTTGGTGATGATGCTGTGGGAAGTGAGAAGTCCACAGCCAGCCAGGTCCAGACTTGTGGGGATTGTCCACAACACTGGACTTCACCAGCGGCACGCAGGCGACACCGGCGGGCATCCCATGGCCCAGCATCGGTGGCTCACCCCTTCCACTGCAGCCAGTGCCAGCGCAGCTTCAGCTCAGCAAACCGGCTGCTGGCTCACGGGCGGGCCCATGTCGGTGGCACACATGAATGTACGGCCTGTTCCAAGGTCTTCAAGAAAGCAGCCTCACTGGAGCAGCACCTGCGGCTGCACCGCGGTGAAGCCCGCTACCTCTGTGTTGACTGTGGCCGTGGCTTCGGCACAGAACTCACCTTGGTGGCCCACCGGCGGGCCCACACCGCCAACCCGTTGCATCGCTGCCGCTGTGGCAAAACGTTCAGCAACATGACCAAGTTCCTTTATCACCGGCGTACTCATGCTGGCAAGAGTGGGG